AGAGAGATATGCATGATAACCTAGAAAAGGGGAACAGGATAGAATCTTCTGAGGGGATTTGAGGGGATTGGAAGCATGGGGGGGAGTGAGGAAGCTGAGAGAAAGAGGGGGTGGAGAGGAAGACATGGGGGAGCAGGAAAATTGAGTAGGGGGAAGAATAAAGGAGAGAAGGATGAGAGATACCATAATAGAAGGAGCCAGTATAGGTTTGAGGAGAGATCTGGTACTAATGAGATGTTCAGAGACCTACAAGGATGACACCAGCTGCAATCTAACCAATACTGGAGAGGTTACCTTAAATGCCCTTCCCTATAACATGGTTGACAACTTCCCCTTCTTTTCTTATCATCTCTCTCTGTCTCTGTCTCTGTCTCTGTCTGTGTGTGTGTGTGTTTGTGTGTGTGTGTGTGTGTGTATGTGTGTGTGTGTGATGTCTGTCTCCCCCCCTTTTGATTTAATAAACTAAAATTAATGCACTCACCATGGGTCACGCTGTATTGTGCTGGTTCCTATCCCTGGCTTCTGTCTCCTGTAACACTTTCTTTTTTCTTTTTCTAATTTCTAATGGTAAACAAAATAACAACAAGGTGAGTGATGTATCTGTCTATGGGTAGAAAAGTATGCCATCAGGAGTTGTTTTATTGCTATGTTTTGGCAGAATGCTTTTCTTCTATGGTCATTTACTATGTAGCCTCCGGTTCTTGGCCTCATTGATACTGGCATATATATGCTGCATTTTGAAGAGCAGGCCTTAAATCCAATAAAAGTGATTGGATGCACCATAACATTTGTGCCACTAGTGCAGCATTAGGCATATCTTGCTGGTCAGTTGTTATTGTTGATTGCAAGGTTTGCAGCTTAATGAACTACATAATTACTTTTCTAGTAGCATATAGCACTATTGATTATAGCCATTGGGGATGAATCTTCTTGCTGAGTACGAGCTAGATTTCTTCATCTTCTATGATTGTATGTGATGTGCTCAGCAATAGGGTTTTGCCATGCAGTTTTGGAAAATAACTAATAGGTATTGGCTATAGTGTATAAAGTTTATGGGGGTCTATGAGACCGCATTGGCCAACAGCTCAAAGAAATATAGGCCACCTTTGCGCAGTATGTTTCGTATTCTATAGCAGAGGATATCTAGTTGGGAGAATTTCCCACACATCTATGATACCCCCATTCAAATTCCTTTTATATGTATACATTTTAGGAGGCTTCTACGGTAGTAGGCTTCCATAGAGATCCTTCAAAAGTCTGTTAGTGTTAGTTACTCTTGTTTGTATTCCCTCCTCTCTTGTGCCCTCCCACTCCACTATTCCAGAGGATCTAGTTTCAATTCTCAACATCCACTTGGTGGATCACAGCCTTCTGTAAATCAAGTTCCAGGTATCTGATGCCATTTTCTGGCTTCTGAAAGCATCAGGCATATACATGGCATATAAAAATACATACAGACAACAAAACACCCAGACACATACATTTAAAAATTAACTAATTTAATTTTGAGAATTTAATCCATAGGTACTGTATTTACACCATTTCTATCCCTCACTCTCTTAGTCCTACTCCTACTCCTCCACTGTTCTCCCCAACTCCCTCTCAAATTCATGACCTCTTCTTTAATTAATATTGTTAAATACACACACTACCTCTTACACAAAACTTACTAAGCTCATTTATTGTTCTCATTTATGCACGTGATAAGGGCTGACCACTTGGGACTTGTCAGCCATCAGGATTGCTCATACCTGGAGAAAACAGATTCTCCCTCTCTCAGCAGTCATTATTTACCTGTAATCCTTTTCCTAGGGGTGGGCCTTGTGAAGTTTCCTTCATCCACATCGGCATGTTGATTGATATGTTTATTCTACAGACCTTGTTTATGCACCCATGTTGTTGAGATTTCATGGGTGGAGCATTCCTGTCATGTCCAGAAGACCTGATCTTTTAGTTGGCAGCCTTGCCTTCTGGCACTTATGGTCTTGCTGTCTGCTTCTGTGATGTTCCCTGAGTTTTACATTGTTGGTTGTGCTGTAGATGTTGATTACTGAGAGTTGGGCTCTTAAGTCATCTGCTCTCTGTACTTTGAGCGGTTGTAGATCTCTGTAGCAGCCTCTGCTGCAAAGAAAGAAGCTTCTTTCGTAAGGGTTAAGAGGTACACATATCTGTGGGTATAAGGGTAAGGATTTAGAACACAGTTAGAAGATATATTAAGCCAGATATTGCTGGCACATGCCTTTAATCCCCGCACTCAGGAGGCAGAGGCAGTCAGATCCCTGTGAGTTCTAGCCCAGCCTGGTCTACAGAGTTGAGTTCCAGGAGAGGCTCCAAAACAATACAGTAAAACCCTGTCTCACAAAAGAGAGAGAGAGAGAGAGAGAGAGAGAGAGAGAGAGAGAGAGAGAGAGAGAGAGAGAGAGAGAGAAACTATATAAATTTTAATTTAGGAAATGGCAGTCATAGTTTCTCTCCTAGGGCTTCTGACCTCTTCATCCATGGGTATTTGGCTAGGTTTAACAATAGCAGACACAAATTGCATTATCCTGAGCAGGCCTTATGACCAATTAGATAGTTGTTGGTTATTCCTAAAATATAAATGTCCCTATAGCACCACTGAGGATTCCTTTCCAGCTAATCATTGTCATGTTTCTCAAGCTTTACAAGCAGGCAGGAGTACTGATAGTTTTTCTCCCTTGACAACTGTCCTATTGCCTTCTAATTCTATGAGTGCTCTGGAAGGCTTCTGGGATTGTTCCAGACCCATTGTTTCAACTTCATTGTCTGAATCATATGATGTATTTAACAATAGAGTTTTGCTGCCAAGTTTTGGGAAGCTATGACAACAGCCAATATTGTCTTGGTAGCCTCTTGCTCCTGCTAATATCACAACATATTTTGGGCAGGCTTCTTCATAAAGAAAAGAGGTATTAGAATCACAGTCCCCAGTGTTCAAGAGCATATTGATATCATCTGGTTGCATCTTCTGAATACCTCATAGCATACAGTGTCATAATAGTAGAGGCCATGTTCAGAAGAAACTGAATAGTAGAAGAGGAAATAGAATAGGTCTTATAAGAATTACATTAATCTTTTCCAAGGATGTTATCCCCAGTGACACAATTATCTCACATTGTTTCAACAAAACCATCCTAGGTTTGAGCCTGCAGCAATGAACACAGCAGGTATGATGTGATAAAAGACAAATGCACATATCTGATTACCATATGTACCAGTCCATGTCCCTTTTTGTAATTTTACATGAAGCTCTATTCACCCTCTGATCTCATACTGTATAAGAGTCCATTTATCCAACAGACGCTTTTAGGCAAATTTAAGTTGAATTTTTGTGAATGCATATGCCTCAATTTAAGTAATTTCCATGTTTGATCATTTACATTTTATCTTATTCTAATTTATAAGACCCATGATAATTTTATCTTTATCAATTTTATTACCTTGATTGATCCATAGTTCTTAATGTTTGCCAGAAACTTTTGAGCTTTTAAATAAAATATGGATACATAAAGAAAGTATCTATCCTGTATCTCAGTGGAGTCTGACAACTATTCACACTTGTGTAATTAGCATCTGGTTCAAGGGATAGTATGTGATGGGGACACACACTGTCTTAGTAGAGACAACCAGCATTCCTCTGCTCCTCTAAGGACATGAAGAAATATTTGCATAGCTGCATGGTGAGGTGAGTGGACAGAAGAAAGTCCTGGAAGTCAAGAACACAGATATGGAGACTGGTGAGTTGTGAAGACCTGTTATGAAAGTGTGGAAGGAGACAGACACAGTCGGTCACAGCTCTGGTTACTAGGTAACATGGCCAGGGGATGGGAGGGGAAAGGAGGGAAGGGGAGGGGAGGGAAGGGGAAGGTGTCTCTCCTCAGGGTTGTACAGATTAAAGAGTGAGGATCTCAGGCAACTCTGTTGGTGTAAAGACTGTCACCTTGCAAATATATATCCTAAATAGACAGGAGAGGTAAGGTTGCTCAGCATTCTAGGAATAGAGAAGGAGACCTCTGCTCTCAGTGGACTTTCAGCATAATGTACTTAGGAACCACCATTTATTCGTAGAAACCTATTTTTAGAAACATTAAAATCTACATTTATTTATGTGTGTGTGTGCGTGTATGATATACAAACATGTGTGTGTGAGTATTGTACATGTACATGTGGAGACCATAGCATCAAACATCTGTCTCTATCACTATCCATGTTATTACATTGAGGCTGGGTATCTTAATGAACTACTTCAGTGTCTCCATTCCTCAGTGTTGGGGTAATAGGCATGCACAGCCATTCCCAGATTTTATATAGGTGCTAGGAATTAAAACTCAGATACTCTTACACACACAACAAGTGCTCTAAACAGCCATTGTTTAAGTTTGTACTGACTTGGGTGTCAGATCTCACAATAATTCAATTCTTGTGATTCCAGAGCCATTGTATGATGCCGACTCAGATTTACCTGATGATAATTTGATAGTTTATAGAACCTGGTGACACAGAGGGAAGGGGAATACAATACTCTCTAGAATCAATAGGTCCTGGACCTTGCATCTAAAAGAGGCATGGCAAGTTGAAGGCAGTTTGAACCTGTGTCAAGATGAAGGGTGCCATCTTGACTTCGGGCAGAAGATGGCACATTTGCACTGCTCATGAGCCGGCGAAGCACTGTGCTTCCATTGCACCCTGCTCTCCCTTACTCAGCAGTACTTTGGGACCTGGTATGGCTCCGGAGTTTGTTCCACCTCTAAGGTATAGGGTAAATGAGCTCCGGAGAGAATCCATGCCTGCAGATATCACCACCCTATGTTAATTCATCCCAGCACGCAGCTCAGCAAAGATGACTTTAGCTAGCTTTAACCATAACTCATTGCAACTCAGAACCTGTTGGGTACCATAATGGAATGAGGGGGCGCTTCTGCTGCTGAGGAGGCGGTGGCGGCGGGCGGAGGCAGGGGCGGTGGAGGAGGCGGCCTGCACCAGCCATGCTGAATAAAAACAAGAAGGAGAAAGAACCACCAAAACCGGTGAAGAGTGGAAAAGATTCAAAAGAAGGACAAGAAGCAGCAGAGTCAGAGATAGCCACTAGGAAAAACAGCCTGGTGGCTGTCCAGTCTTCGACATCTGCTAAAATAAAAGTCCCAGTCCCTCAGTCAGTTGTCATCCCTGTTAAGAAAGACAAACAGCAGAATTCTTCACGGTTTAATGCCAGCAATAACAGAGAACTGCAAAAACTCCCATCTTTAAAAGATGTCCCTCCTGCGCATCAAGAGAAGCTCTTCATCCACAAGCTTCGTCAGTGTTGTGTCCTCTTTGACTATGTTTCTGACCAGCTGAGTGGCCTGAAGTGGAAGGAGGTGAAGCAGGCCGCGCTGAGTGCGATGGTAGAGTACATCACCCACAACAGCAACGTGATCACAGAGCCCGTGTACCCAGAGGTTGTCCACATGTTTGCAGTTAACATGTTTCGAACCTTGCCACCCTCCTCCAATCCCACTGGAGCAGTATTTGACCCAGAAGAAGATGAACCAATGTTGGAAACAGCCTGGCCTCATCTGCAGCTTGTTTATGAATTTTTCTTAAGATTTTTAGAGTCTCCAGATTTCCAGCCCAATATAGCAAAGAAATATATTGATCAGAAGTTTGTATTGCAGCTTCTAGAGCTCTTTGACAGCGAGGATCCTCGGGAGAGAGATTTTCTAAAAACTACCCTTCACAGAATCTATGGGAAGTTCTTAGGTCTGCGTGCTTACATCAGGAAACAGATAAATAATATATTTTATAGGTTTATTTATGAGACAGAGCATCACAATGGCATAGCAGAATTACTGGAAATACTGGGAAGTATAATTAATGGGTTTGCCTTACCGCTGAAGGAAGAACACAAAATTTTCCTGTTAAAGGTGTTGCTGCCCTTGCACAACGTGAAATCCCTGAGTGTCTACCATCCCCAGCTGGCGTACTGTGTTGTGCAGTTTTTGGAGAAGGACAGCACCCTCACTGAACCAGTGGTAATGGCACTTCTCAAATACTGGCCAAAGACTCACAGTCCAAAAGAAGTAATGTTCTTAAATGAATTAGAAGAGATTTTAGATGTAATTGAACCATCAGAATTTGTGAAGATCATGGAACCTCTTTTTCGACGGTTAGCCAAGTGTGTTTCCAGCCCTCACTTCCAGGTGGCAGAGCGGGCGCTGTATTACTGGAACAATGAATACATCATGAGTTTAATCAGTGATAATGCAGCGAAGATTCTGCCCATCATGTTTCCATCCTTGTACCTCAACTCAAAGACCCACTGGAACAAGACAATACACGGCTTGATATACAATGCCCTGAAACTCTTCATGGAGATGAACCAAAAACTCTTCGATGACTGTACCCAGCAGTTCAAAGCAGAGAAACTGAAAGAGAAGCTAAAAATGAAAGAGCGAGAAAAAGCATGGGTTAAAATAGAAAATCTAGCCAAAGCGAATCCCCAGGTACTGAAAAAGAGAGTGGCGCAGGAGTGTTGAGGCGTTGCTTGAATGTTTGATGAAGTAGGGTGATCGGGCTCCACCCCAGGAAGGGAGGCGTCGTCACTAACACTGTATGTGCAAATGTCCACAATAAAACACTTCCCAACTTTGTAACCTTCCTCTTGTAGAAGTACTTATTTGCCACCCATCATTTTTACCACAAAATTGACTTTTTTCTCTCTTCTTTTTAAAAGTAAGATATGTGGTAAAAAGAAAACCAGGATGTAACCTCTTAAGACTGTAATGTTCTTTCTTGCTCAAATGTCATAACTGCTGTCACTTGAACCATCTTTCTCTTTTATTTTCCTGTTTGAAACAGACGAAGTGTTGAGTAGATGAAGTGTGCTGATAAACTAACTGACTTCTGTCCTGGTCACACTAACCTCTCCGACCCTAGCTGATGCCCGTATGCTCTCACACGGGCGGGCGAGACACAAATGGTCCTGTCTGCTGGGACTCCTGGCAACACAGCAGCCTCCGTTCCGTGCCAGCTCTTAGGCTGCCAGACAGGACCTGGGGCAGCTTGGCAGCCGTGGTCCTCTGGTGTTGCGTCTGCCGGACTGGATGGTCGGTGTTATTGGGGCTCTCCTTGCTCTGTGTGTGTCTGATTTCGTCAGCCACTTGATGAAATGTCTGACCTTTTCCACACTAAGATCTCTCAGGCTTCTCTCAGCTCTCCAGGGAAGAAAATGTCTTACCTAACCATGTATTTCTTTTTGGTGAGAAGTGTGTATAAATTATTATATAAGTTGGATGTGGATTTTTTAATCTTTGTCATTTAATAAAAACGATACATGAAGATAAAAAAAGAAAACCTCTGACTAATTAATTCCCTGCCCCTATGGCTTGGAACATCTGGAGAGAAGCTTTGCTCAGCATAGGTGGTGCTCATTCCTTTCTCTTGCTCATCCAATGTTTATATGGGAGCAACGCTTTCTTTCCATTTAAAAGGTGTTGTTTCCTTTTCTTTTTTTTTCATATTCTTTTTCTTTTGTGTTTCTGGTTTTGTTGCAGACATAAATTTTAATTTTATTTTTAAAATGTACCTATTGCAGTCCTCAAAGCCTCATGCAGTGTGAGTGGGTTCTATATCTCTAAGCTACAATTCCATTCCTATTGATATGAATTGTGTCCAGTTTCAGTGGTGGCCCAGTTATGCCTGTCTCTGGTAAACATTTGTTTTAAATAGCAGAGAGAGAGAGAAATTCGAGCCATTGAACTATTAAGCATGAACAACTTACTTTCTTGAATCTTACACATTGGTTGTCTTTGAATTTTCACAAGTGAAACATGATTTTGTGTGTGTGTGTGTGTGTGTGTGTGTGTGCATGGGAGAGAGCGAGTGAGAGAGCGAGACAGAGAGAGAGAGAGAGAGAGAGAGAGAGAGAGAGAGAGAGAGAGAGAGAGAGAGAGAGAGAGAGAGCTTGAGAGCTTGCTGGGGTTGGGTGTGTGTCAGGAGTGTCCTTGCACTGAGGCCTATTATTGGTCCTGCAGCCTCTTAGTCCCAAATAAACACAAGAAGCATATATCCCACTGCCCTTAAACTCCATGTAAGTGTTTGATCCATCATTTAACTGTTTAGAGCTCTTTTTATTATTATTATTTTTTTTTATTTTCCATTTTAAATTTAGATAAGAAACAAGGTTGCTTCACAAGTCAGTATGAGGTCCCTCTCCCTTTCCCTCCCCTCCTCCCGTGCCCTCCCCCCCATCTCCCCCCCCCGTTATCCCCTCATTACCCCAGGGAGGGTGAGGCCCTCCATGGGGGTGTCCATAGTCTGTCATTTCATATAGGGCAGGGCCTAGACAGAAGAGCCTTGATGTTTTTGCAGTTAATAGTGAGTTAGGAAGCCTCTCTTAAAGAGTCACACCTCTGCTTGCCTCTAGCAAACAGAGCCCACCTGAGAAAATGCTGCTACTGAGAAGTCATGCTTGATTCTGTTCTTTTGCACGCAGAATCCCCTTTTAAGATTTTGTCAGGTTTGACATGCAAATTCTTGCCAGACTTTGGGGAGCCACATGAGGATGGAAGTTTCTGTCCCACCCAGTCCTGTAGCTGTTTAGTCCCAAATAAATACACTGAGACTTATATCAATTGTATTTGATCAGTGGCTCAGGCTTCTTATTTGATAGCTCTCTCTTAATTAGAGCTCCTAGAACAGTGTAAGGTTAAGAGCATCCAGAGACTCCTGTACTACCATGTTCTTCAAAAGTCTTAGAATTCCAGGACACTTCCTAGGACTTTTCTGCTAAGGTCACATAGTTCCACATGGGAGTCTGTAAACAGTGCCATAAGTAAAAGGAATTAATAGACATTAACTCACACTTAAGAGGAAAGAGATGTGTCAGCTATAGTCAGAGTGACACAGAAAAATTAGACATGGTGAAGAACTTCGTGCTGTGGTGTCAGACTTGGAAAACCTACTTTGTCCATCATTTTTGCCACATGACGAGACAGGAAGGCTAAGCTTAAATGCTTGTAAGGTTTACATGTGGCAATCTATGTTTTCCAAATGCTCTGGAGACACAAAAGCACCTGTGATGTGAGAACAGCCCATGTGCATCTCAGATGTTTTGTTGAGAAATCACTGCATAAACCTCATTCAGTGCCAAGGCTGTTTGCTGGGTTTCAAAGACCAGTTGTATAGGGCAAAGAAAATATTGTCCCTCCTACCAGTGAGTGTGTGCATGCACTTTGAAACAGCCTTGTTGTCCAAACAAGAGGCTGACACAGAGTGTTGTATGTGTGTTGAGATGGGGGAATACTATTAATCCACTATTTAAGGCCAAATTTCCTGTTGGAATGCATTGCTGGTTACTTAGAGGTCACAGTCTCTTGTAAGCTTAGTGGCTTTTTGTCTAAACCCAGCAATACAGAACTCCCTCCATTCCCAGCAAAGCTTCTGTTCTACCTCCCCTTATCTGGAGAATGTGCTTGGGCCTGGAGGACTGATCTTATCTGAAAGATGTCTCTAAACCAGATGCATGATTCATCTTTAACTTGAACCTGGGCACAGATTCCTGCTAAGAAGACTTGCTCTAGGAGTTCTGCTATAGTACTTAATGTCACATACTAAGTCTTGTGATAGGAGTGTGCCACTTAATGCAAAATAAGATTTTCCCCAGGCTCCTCAATCCTTTTACTCTGGAATAAAGTGAGCTGGTTCACTGAAGTCTGTCTCTTGGAGAGCTGACTGTTTGTGTTCATGGACAGAAATCAAAGCTTTCTGTATCCCCTCCTGCCTCTTCCCTTTCTCTACCAGGTGACCAACAGACCAAGATGGAAAGAGGACCCACACACACAACTTCTTTCTTAGACAAAATTAAAAGAGAAAACCCAGCCCATGCCAGAGTTTGGAGAGTAGATCTTACCTGGAAACTGATTCTAACTCTTCAACATTGGTTTGATCTGAGGAAGAAAACACACCTCTGTTGGCTCCTGCTTTCTCCCCTGCCTTGCCTAACCCCTCAAATCTTCCATCTTTGTCTTTGGCTACAGAACAGTCAATGTGATTGTGCATGAAATTAAAACATTTTGCATTATGAAAATATTGCAGCAAACTCTAGAGTGAATCATGGGGTTATTCTGAACACTGCTATCCTGTATACATAACACTGAGAACACAGTTCTCTTCACTCCTGGCTGTCAAGAAATGTTTGGCAAAAAATGTAAGGATGGATAAAAATAGAAAATGTAAATAAATAAAAAAGCAATGTTAGAGTCAAAACATGGTTGTTTGAATAATTAGATACAAAGCATCCAGATTATTTGTTCTGCAATTATAGATGTTTGCTGCTATTAAAACATGGTCAGATTATACATGTTGTGTCAGCATGTCTTTAGTTTATGAATATGCCCTTTAAGTTATATAATTCAAGATTCATGGAGCAAGGCATGGGGGTGTTATAAGAGTCAGAGATTGAGGGAAGCCAAAGAGAAACACTTTATTCTGGAAATGACAGCATTGTCACACTCATGAACTCACAGCCTGCCTGCACAAGACATGTGCAAGGTAAAGGTAAAACACTCTATCATGAAAGCTGAGGGGTCAGTGGAGTTTCCACCCCTGAGTGAACATCTTTGGATAGCTGATGGCTTCTGGGGGAGGCAGAGTCAGTTTCTTTAAGGGTATGACGACAGTGGATAGTGTCATACTCAGAAGTGTATGGCCAGCACAACTGGACTGAATGGGTATTTGAAATAAACAAAGAGGGCATGAAGTTGAAGATGTAAAAAGGAGGGAGTGAATTTGGAGCGATAGGAAGAGGGGGATGAATATGATCAGAACACATGGGGTGAAGTTCTAAAAAATCTAATAAGGTATATTCTAAAGGTGCATAATGTACTTTATACTAATCATTATCTTTCCCCAGCATGTTCTCCTGTCTGGAAATAAAAGATTAAAACCAAAGAGCAGTTCCTTCCATTAGTGTCAGGGCCCATAAAAATGGCTTGCCTTGTCTTGACTTAAGGTCAGTGAGCACCAAGGTTAAAGTCAAAAGACCTAAAGGTGTAAGACAGGGTTATTGTGGGAAATTTGGTGGTGGGTGTGCATGTCTTATCTTAATAACAACAGCCTGGGTAGGAGGTGTCCTTACTCTTAATCCTTAAAGCCAGATAACAAGAGATTTAGTCAAAGGTGTGGTTATCAAGTGTTTGGAGAATTAAGGAAGAAAGTCTGTTTCTTCCTTGTATCTTGATAAAGAAGTCTTTTGCCATTTTCCACTTTTTGGGGATTTAAGAATGTTGAAGAATAAACTTGGGGCATTCAGTATTCACTGAATTGCCATCGTGACTCTATTCTGTGTATCTACCTTTTCTTAAAATCTTTTCCTGCCCTTTCTCAATCCATACTCCCTGTGTCAGGTACCAATCAGGCATGTTGTCTGGATCTGACTGAAGTCCCACAAAGATGCGTTCCTACACATTAACAGTTGCTCCTCATTGTTACTTTTCCTTAGCCCCTATCAACCAGGATGATGTTTTTATTTAGTCTTTCATTTAAAATAGCTCCATTTTGGGGCCATTATAAATAACAGTATTATTTGTGTAGATGTTTTTATATGGTTGGCATTTTAAATTATCTTGAGTACATAAATAGGCATAGAGTTTTT